GGGGTTCTTTGGGGGGGGGGAGGGGGGAGGGGAGGGGGACCACTGACCTGAATCTCCCTTCTGTTCGTCGTTCAGGCGTCGACGGTCGAACATTGCATGCAAATCACTGTGCCCACCACATCTCACGCCCTACCCGTGACGACGCCAACCACTCACCACATCCAACAGCCAACCGCAGTCGATCAACTCTCTCTCTCTCTCTCTCTCTCTCTCTCTCTCTCTCTCTCTCTCTCTCTCTCTCTCTCTCTCTCTGTCTGTCTGTCTCTGTGTGTGTGTGTGTGTGTATGTGTGTCGTTATGTTCGCTATACACAACTCCATAAAAAAAGGCACGACTAAGCCGGACTGGTTCGTCGGACTTCCACCGACTCATCAGGAGGTTGAACCCCCGACAGTCTGCCCGGGATGAATTTGGCTGATAGATGTGTGCGTGTTTGTGTGTGTGTGTGTGTATGTGCCAGACACGTGTGAAGTCGCAGTCGAGCGTGAGCGTGGTAGTGCAGAGTGGAGTAGTAACGTCGAAGTTGAGCGTGGTAGTTTAGAGTGTAGTAAAGTCGAAGACGAGCATAGAGTAGAGTAGGGGTCGATCTTTCTGCCCGTGCCGCCACCAAAAAACGTTCGCAGGATTTTCCCGTGCCGCCACCCAAAAGGGCAGCCTACGGGAACCACTTTGCCCGATGGGAAGCCCGTGCGCAGGGACGGCCAGCTCCAATGGGCAAACCGGTTCCCAGCGAAAGGCCTCGATTGGGTCCTGCCTGATCAATCTGGGCCGTTGGGCCCGAGGTACGAGGCCAACAGCCTGGATTGACGCGTGCCCGCACGCCAATCCGGCCCGTCAATCCGGTAGAACCCGACGGCCGGGATTTCAGATTTATTACATGTTTCAGACGATCCTGGCCGTGGGCCAGTAGGACCGACTACGGGCCAAATCAGAGATTGGTTCCCTTAGACATTTTAATAGCGTAGAGATATCTGTGTAGAGATATCTGGGAGGGACCAGCAACCACAGCTACAAGATGAGAGAAGCTGCCAAGCCATGATGCCTGAGGAAAGGGAAGGTGGTGCATGTAGAGTGGATGAACAGTTACAATTCATCGGGCAGAGAGAGAGAGAGAGAGAGAGAGAGAGAGAGAGAGAGATTATCGGTGGATGGATGGCTCGTAATTAGGAAGGTGGAGAAGGTGAAGGTGGCACGAGCAGGAGGACAGGGTAAAAAAGCAAAAGAAGGTTGCCCAATTGTATGCCATGGAAGCAGACTAGGGCAGAAACAAGGGAAGAGGGACATGGTATTCGATGAGTAACCGTAACCGTGGAAGTATAGACGAGGTGGAGGCGGCATGAGTGGGAGGACAGAGTAAATGAGCAAAAGGTCGCCTAATTGTAAACCATAGAGGCAGGCAAGGATAAGAACAGGGGGGCACAGGGGGATCGGGGGAGTGGTGCTTGGCAGGCACTCGCGGTGTGGTAATCCCTCAGGGAATAGGAAGGCCAAGGTCGCTCAAGAGGAAATGAAAACCAATCGAATATCACCAGGAAGTGTTATTTTCTTTTTTCTTTTTTTCTTTTTTTTCCCCCAAAAAAACTCCCGAGGTGCTGCTAGAGGTGTTGATAAGAGCAGACACCACTACCGGTAGCACTATCGGGGAGGCTCCATCTATTGGTGGGGAGCAGCACCTGCTGGAAACCGGGTCCAGCGTCCCATTAATACATCTTTGCTGAGAAACAAGCTCTTACATCAGATTGGTATTCTGTCAGCATTGATTGCTCTGGGTTCTTCCAGAGGAGTGTTCCTTTCTTCATGCAATGTAGTCAGCACTGACCACCAACTTGTCCTCGGGAAATTCATTCTTTTGTCCCCAAACAGCTTACGGGCTTCACCTTTTGAGAACAACAGAGCAGGATATGCTGTGCCCAGAGATTCCAAAACCAACTGGTCGCGGCCACGAAGAGACATAGCACACCTCAAGCACTGCTTTAACCGCCAGTTTGGTAAGTAGGCTTGGGAGTTGCGGAGCTTCAATTCTTTTTTTTTTTTTTTTTTTTTTGAACAAACTCGAGAGGTCTGGAAATACTGCTGCTTAGCCTGCTTCAGTATTTGACTGCAGAGTGCAAATAACCCACCCCCCCCCCTATGTGCGTGCTCCTCTCTGTGTGAACGGGACCTTAAGTCCGACAAAATGCTTCCTTCAGACGTACATTATGTGCAAAACTCCCCTCTCCTCCTTTTTGCCCTCTGGAAACCAAGCAGAGATATACCTTCCCTATGTGCTCCTCTCTGTGTGATTCACTGACATACTCGTGCCTTAACAAGCTGACAGAAGTAGTCATAAGATAGCTATCTACCATAGCTGTGTATTTCCCACATTCCTACAAAAGGTGCTCCTGTTCTATTTCCACCCTCTGAAACTTTTCTCTACCATTTGCTGTCATCCGTAGCTCTACCAACCTACCTGATAATGTCATCCTCCACCTGCCAGGCATTAGCTACAATACTTGTACGACCAACGCAATTCATTCTCTAGCATTCTGTTGCACTTCTAAATCCAAAAGACAAGTCCTACAGCTTATAACACCCTCAACCACCTGACACATGAACTGTGTCAGATCCTTCTCAATTTCCTTCTGACACAGTCGTTTCCGGTTATGTCTTCCTTTTTTTTTTTACATCCACGAAAGCAAAGTAAGATTGCGTTTACGTAAACTACGTCAAAAAAGAAAAAAAGAAAAAGAAAAAAAAAGTTGGTTCAGTGTTGGAACTCCTGTTTACTGTGGCGAGAAGCAATCCCACTCACCCAAACTGAGATGGGTAGAGAGGCCCTGAGATAAGAGACCTCTTTTTTTTCTTTTTTTTTTAAGGTTTCGCCAGATAATATTTCTTCCCCTCATTCGACCTGGGTGGGCTGTTATCAGGTCCCTTATCAGCCCATCTGCTCCCCCTCCATCCACCCCCCCCTCTCCCAGCCCACCTCAAGCCTCTTCACTTCGAGGACTTCTACGCAGGAAGGCTGACACACACACCATGCCAGCAAAATCAGGTACATGATTCAAGGATTGCAAATATTTTGCATCCTATTCAAATAAGTGAATCGCCATATCAGCTTCCTAAATCACTGTGCCTTGGCCCTACAATTACACCTGTGTCATGCATGCCTCTGGACCAGCCTAGCCATCAGCGTGTCCCAGGTATATGTACTGGTGGTGCACATGTGAGACATCTTGTGCTGTACTCTTGTTCAGACCATTGTACACAAATTCAGCTGGAATTGCTTCACGTCTGCTCATCACCCCAGAAAGGTTCAGGGCGAGGTCTGAGTCGAGTATGTGTGCGAGAGTGGGCTGACCGCATCTCACTCCCACTGCATCCCATCGTTCATGACACACATTGCCCGTTAAGGCAATCCGACACGAAACCCTTTACAGGACAGGATCTGACACACACACACACACACACACACACACACACACACAGATTTCCCGACAGGCTCCCTCAGCTACAGTTCACCAACATGGAAGTGGTGGAAGGAGACTGACAGATAGAATAGCACACCTTCGAAGCTATCCCCTATGACAAGTCTATCCCTGTCGCACCTCACATACGATTTCAATCCACTGGGAACTGACACATTGCTCAGTTCTCTCCCTCCATCTTCCATCACGCAATCTTAATTTTATTTTATTTTATTTTTTAGTGTGGTCCGATGGACCACAGGTCAGATATTAAACTGATCAGAACAGATACTACACTTGATCTCAACCAAAAGGCCGAAAAAGGTATTCGTGCAATCAACAATTCTATGCATGCTTCGAAGGCAGTTATTCTGCGTGCTGCTGGAATCAACTGTTTTGCTCCTCTGCAGAGCATGACCAGAACCGGATCGCCAGTACCTCTTTTTATCGTAATACTAACGTTGCGGAAATGTATTAGCCTTACATTCTCATCATACTTGCAGCCCTTCCAACAGGAAACACAACTACAGATTTCGACCCGAAGGCACAAAGAGTCTAATCACACCACCACCTCTAGTTCATGCTATTGAAGGAGCCATAAGTCGGCTAGCACTGGTGAGACCTGACAGATTTATTCACTGTTCCATCACTTAGCCCTTGCAGAAACTAGTTCATCCCTTTTACTCTATGGAAACAAGGTAGACATAGGCGTTGCGTCACATGAATAGGCCCCTAGCCTTTCACGTGGTTTGTGCAGACACATTCGTTACGTCACATGAATAGCCCCCTAGCCTTTAACAAGGTTTGTGCAGACACATTCTCTCTCTGATAATAAGCGAAAAGGCAAGGTGTGGGCCCACCAGGCGTAGCCTGATCCTTGATCCCTTGACGATGGCATTGGCAGCAGGGCTACTTCAAGCAAGTCGCTTGCCTGTCTACCAGACTTCACTATGGCCTCTGTGGTGCCGCACAATTACACTAGTACATTTATCACGATGAAACTAGAAAATTAGTGGCCCGGGTAGGTAAAAGGCCACATCATTCGCCAGTCCACCTACCTGGCCTAAATTTGCCAGCCAGTTTGCTGGCAACCTGATGGGCATTCTTTTCCAGCCATTTAGAAGGTGGAATAGCCATCGTTCTCAAACACGAGAGAGGTGGAAGAGGAGGGAGGGGCACGGGAGGGAGGAGGGAGATTGGAGAAGGGAGGGGGAAAAGGGAAACAAAACAAGGGGGAAAAGAAAACTTCAAAAAAGGGCATTCCAATTTCAAGGCATGGTACATCACACTTGGCCACAACATGCAATTAAGAAGCGCAACAGTCAAAGTCCCATTTAACTGAGGACTCTAACCGAATCAAATACGGAAAAGACGAGTCTTGCGACCGAAGGCTGAGAGTTGTTATTAAGGTGGTTCAAAGACAAGAGGGAAATGTAGCATACAGAGAGCCATGACAACTTGCTATGCCAAAAACCCTTTGGGATTTCCTTTCTTCACCGCTACACCATACTGCTGATCTCCAACTACAGTCCGGTGCACCCATCCCAACTTAACATGAAGCAGCAGGAAAACATATCGATACAACAAGCCCATGACCCCTCGCAAATGCTCAGGATCATCACAAGATCATCATTATACCTGACATGTACTTCTTCACTTTCTCATTTATTTTC